TTGTGGTTAAAGTTAAAAACAAAAGAAAAAACCTGTCATGCTGCTAATGGTGTTTTCTTGTTATTATGCCTTCTGGTGTGATAGATCCACAGGGTAACTAACACTGTCTGGATTGCTTCCTTTTTAGTGCTGATTTATTTTAACAGGTTATTCACTGCCTTTTTGCCTAGGACAACAGGAGAGATGTGCAACGTATTTATTCTCTGTCCTTTTTCATTATTAAAGCAATTCTGTTTCCACTGTATTCTGTCACGGTCTCCCCAGCAGCCCGTGAAACTTTGGTGGTCACCACCAATGTGCCTGAACACCCCTCGCCCATCTCGAGTGAGACCGAAGATCACACTCTGCTCCACGCTGAGCTTCAGTTATGGCATTTTAATAATACAAAGGCAGAAGAAAAAAGCAAGATTTTTTTTCCAAACTCCCTTTTAAATAAACAAAGGTTCCTCTCTTCCCCTCACCCCACCCCATGTTCACAAACAAGCAACAGATGCCATCGATTCACTTTGTACCTAAGCTTTTGATCTGGCTGCACTTTGATTTTCAGTGCTCACTTTTGACAAGGAAGGGAATAAGAGCCCCATTTTTGTGACATTAATAGAGGCTTTTCTGCTGCGGTAATTTATTTGTGCTCTGCTCATAATTTTCTGCTGATCCGTGTAGATTCTCGGTGACAGACACAGAGAACAGGACAGAGTGACAAAACACGGTTTCCATCACCCTGAAAGCTTTTCCAGCGGCCTGGGGCAGCGCGGGCTGCGGCTCCCGCACACAGCGATGTGCTGCAGTGTGAACCACGACTGTGCAGAGCACCCGCGCCCAGGCTGGGCGAGAGCAAACGCTGCGCAGCCCCCAGCCCCGGGCGCTGCCCTCGGCACCGACAGCAGGAAGGGGACTCATTTTAATGCCTCTCAGGCAGCTGGTAAGAACAAGGAAAAGGCATCTCTTAGAGGCTTACATACAGAACGGAACTAAAAAGGGCAAGTCAAAGACAGCAGAAGCGGGAAAAAGCAACGTTTCTGTGCAACAGCTCCATCCCGCTAGGTGCTCCTCTGAGATCTTGCTGAAGCACGCGGCAGACAAAAGCTTCAGTAGCCATTTTAATGCAAATTAACTATATAAGACATAACCTGATATTTCACGTTCCCCTACTCCCACAAGGGCACAATCATTCTCTGTGAGGCCCCGGGAGCCTCCTCAGCCCTTGCACAAGAGCAGCTCCATCCTGCCCCGTGCTCCTCAGCATCACGAGGAAGGACGAGGAGCAGAGAGGGACTCAGGGCAGGGCACCCAGCTGAGTGCGTCGGCAGCAAAACAGAGGCACAAAAGTCTGATTTGCAGCACCATGACTGGGCCACCTGCGGTGCAAGCGCAGCCAGGCACTCGTGACTTTATTGCTTTACCTAATGATCCAACTTCAGCTAAGGGCGTGCATCATCCCACCAGCACCAGCATTGCCGGAGACCTTTCCCATCAGCTTTGGTGATGAGAACATTTGAAGAGAAGCTAAAAAAGACCCCCAGTGGTCAGAGCTGAAAGACACCGGCAAGCTGGCACCAGAAAATTCGTATCACGGCTGTCCGTGCTCCATCCCTTCTGCAGTGAGAGGCTGCACGCTCCCAGCTGTCAGTCCCTGGCGGGCTCTGCGGCAGACGCACGCTCGCGGCAGGGAAAGCAGGAGTGAGAATAGCAGGCACCTCGCTGGCGGGAGGTGTGACAAATCCTTGGCAGAACACAAAACCAAAAGCAATTTTAAAATCAGCAACAGGCATCTGACAGCTCTGAAAAGAGCCTCCTCGGCGTTTGTGTGCCTTCACAATGCTCTGCGAGGGTGGATGCGGGAGTTGGGGAGCATCGACGTGATGGGAACGTACTGTTCGGCAGGAAGATACAGGGCAAACCTGAAAGCATTATCATTGATCCAGACATTGTACATCACTGGTTTTCCTTCCAGCTAAGAAACTTTATATGGTTGCTCATGTAAAATTAAGTTTAATGTGGCATTAAGATTCTACGAAATTCTGCCTGGAGATGAGGAAACAAAGTGAACTCTGAGAAGCGACTAAGCCTGTATCGATTTTTATGCATGCGTTTCTCTATCATTGTTACTAAGCTGGCGACACTGTGAAGGGCACAATTATTTATGTTCCATCAAATTAGTAGGTAATTCAAATCTCTGACAAAATATCAAGCAAAAATTGCTTTCACTTCTGCAGAAAGTCCTTCTGACACTTAAACTGTTCACTTTCTACTGGAAGGACACTGTAAGAATACAAAAACTTCAGACAAAAAATGAAAAGCTATGCAACAAAAATGAAAAACCAGCTCATCGCTCATCAGTACCATCCTTACATCTAACTGAGGGTCACTGGAGCTGTCACCATCATGGGGACAGGCCAGCGTGGGTGCCCTGTACAGCGTGGTACAGAGTGGAGTCTGCATACAGGACCAGGCCTTCCAGTCCCACCACCAGGCAAGTGAAGAGATGAGGATGAGTTTTTGTGTGGGTGCGTATTTGTCTCTTTGAAAAGTGAATGATTGTGAGGAAGGAGCGTCTGCCCAGCGGAACTCCGGAAGGATGCTCTGCCGGTTGGTGGGAGAGGCATACGGAAAAGCAATGAGGCACATGTCAAGAGCAAAGCTGAGGGGCTGGTGGTCTTTCCAGCCAGCAGAGGATATACCAACATGGTCTATTTTAAAAGCAAGGTGTTTCTCTCAACATTCATATGCATTCTTGATTTCTAAATTGTAGGCATGTGCCTCTGTATTGCGATGACCATCTAAAAATAGCGTGGGCATAGAAATGTTATAAAATGCAAAGAAACTTAAAGTTTCAATCTTGCCTTCCTCCAGTTCCTTTTGTTGGATCCCTGCTGGATCCAACCACTCCATCCAAAAACCACAAGAGTTTTCTACTGTATTTCAGCCAAAAAGCCCATATTGCCTTAGGGTCCCAGTCAAACGCAGCCAAATGGAAGGCAGGAAGAACCTTTTCAGATAAATTCACAAAAATGTGCTCACGCAAGATGTAAGTAAATTACATCAAGAAAAGAAATAAGGATGCCTGGAATAAAAGCTCACATCTTTACTATTATGCTATATAATAACCTTAAAAGAGAGATACGATACGAGAATTCTTCACTGAAGCGTTCCATCAATACTTAACTTAAAGAGAACAATTTCTTTGAACGACTACTTTGTAGGAGGAAATTCCCTTACTCTAGCCACCAAAAGAGCCTTAGAAAAGGCCTTTAATCAGGGCCTTTGAAACAGGAAGGAAAGCAAGATTTTCCTCTTTTTCTTCCTTAATGTTTTGAAAAGGAAATAAGCCATTGAAATATATCAAGCGATTTCCTTTACTTGAAACACTAGCTGCCTTCTGTGCATTGTGAGCAAAACAAAAATAAACGCCTTTCATCCACCCAGATTTTGCTGCGGGTAGGCAGCACCAAGACGGACTAATCATTATGTGGTCAGGGAATCACAGCCTCGGGACCGTGTCACATCCTACCCAAACAATTATTTTTGGGAATGGAATAAATACTCTTAGGAGACACCAGTGTGATTATCCACTAGTGGCTATTTTGGCTGCAGCAGCGAGGAGTAAGAGAGGGAGCAGAAAAAACCCGATGAGATGGCCCAAACACTGTCGCGCTTGCAGGGGGCAGAGAGTCTTGAAATAGAAAGCAGGTAGAAAACCAAGCTAAAAAGAGATCCCGGTCCAGCTAAAAGGCAGCTTGACTTCAGCATCAAATTACACAGCCACTAAAAAAATCCTTGCAGCCCAACTCGTCCTCATTTTATTTTTGCTAGCCTGTTTCGTTACCCAGTGGGAGCTAGATAATAACATCTATTTTTGTGGAAAACAACACAGTTTTTCAGCTCAGTGTGGTGTTTTTATTTCACAGCAGAACACTGCAATTTATAAACAGCAAAACCTATGGAAAATTCTCTAAATGAAGGACTTTATGGTATGTTATCATTTAACCCCTATTTTTCACTTTCCTTGGATTTATTGGCGTTCCCAGTTGCAATGTTAAATGACTCTGAAAGTAGAGCAATTAATCCAAAATCCTATTTGTTTTAATCTAACACTGTCAACTAGTTTTAGGTTTGCAGTCAAGAGAAAAAAAATGTTTGTTAAGCTCTACAGCACTAGCTAATGTCTAAAGACAATCCTCGGAAAAGGTGCAAAGATGTTTTATCACAGCACTATAGATGGGACGGAGATTTATTATAGTACCTAGTACCATTCCAGCAGATGCCTTTTGAATTACAATGAGATTATTAAAACTTTACAAATCATTATATTAAAACCTGACAAGAGTACTTTGGGAACTGGAGCATCTTGATGTCATCGCTAATGATGCATTACCTGTGATAAGGTTTCAGAAAAATTTCTAAGTAAAAACTGGTTATAAAAGAAGTATAAAATATATTAATATTTATTTCAGTACCTGCTATAAGTTCAAGGATAATAGGTTTATATGCATCAGAACAGCCGAATGATCGTATTTATGTCAGCATTAGAAAGATGTTCATCTGCTGCAAAGTTTAATTAATTTTCACAGATAGTTAATTTTCTGTTTCATTATCAGCTCCCTAAATTTGAAAGACAAATAATTTATAAACAAATAGAAACTTCAGAGAGGAGTATTTTTAGAGCAAACAGAAGATAAATAGCAGGAGCGAAGCATCAACGCTGCCTTCGAAGTACTAATATGAATGATATATTGTAGTAGGTTTTGATTGATAACTTACACATTCTAGAGCACTGACTGAAAAGAAACAAATTGTTTACTGTTAACCCCAACCCATTTTCAGGTAACAAATGACTCCGATCTTTACCAATCAAATAATGGCTGTGATGCCCTTAAACATCAGTGAATGAGCAATGTGCAGGCTCACCACGTCCTTCCAGGAGTGACCTGATCCCTTAAGGACAATATTCCTGCCCTTCTCCCCTTCCTGGCAAGAAGAAAGTTTAAGCAGCTACTTACCGTGATGTACGACGCCCTTCAACCCATGGATAATGGGATCCAGTGCTGGATTGTCCCTCTGACTGACCTACATGCAAAGGATACAGGATTGGTTACACCTATTCTAGTATCAGGCAGAACAGTAGTCAAAAAAAAAAAAAAAAAGATGTTATCTAACAAGCTGCTCAGTTCTCACATTTACAATGGCTCTTCACCAAATGCCAAAGATGCATGCCGTAATAAAATAAGTAAGGAAGGTTAAATCAAAAGAAAGCGTCTTTTGAATTCATTACAACATTAGCCATATTACCAGCCCAGAAAAGCCTGAAAACAGAGAGCTGATTTTTCTCCATCTACTTCTGCTTTCATAGAGCAAAACTGCTGTGATAAACAGGAGTTATCTCAGACCGGTTCATCCCTTACTGATACGGGAATAAATCTGGTGCTGCCACTGAAATCAGTGAAGCTGGACCCCTTTCAGCTGTAATGGAGCTTGGCCTTGGCATCTCTTTGCTATTCCCATTTTTACATTTATTCAATTTAGTGTCACTTGGACAAGAGGGATGGAAAAAAGCTCTGTGAGAGGATCTAGAAGAAATCTCTGATTTTTGACAATGCAATTGCCTGCACTGTCAGACCAAAAACTGATGTCCTGCCATATTTCTTCTATCACCCAGCAATCACCCGTCTCCTCCACAATGGCGAGACCCAGCACCAGAGAGGGGCAGAAGGCAGCAGGAAGGATTAATCCTGTTGAGCTCCACAACTTCCACATTAAACCCACCACTTCAGCCACTTACTTGTAAAAGACAAGGAATTTACAACCAATAATGTCATTTTTTTTAACCTTTTGCCTCTTCAGAGGTATTTAAGGAATAACTCTCAATTTCTGTGAGCATGTTCCATCATTTAAGATACTTGCCAGTTTACTTCTGTGAAATACATACTGGCATGTACCTTATTCACATGGTATGTTTTTCTTCAGTTTGCCACCAGTCAGTATCAGAAGCCCGAGCAGTATTGACCATTTTTGGATGGACTGTTCCCAATGCGCAAACGCATTGCATGCAAAATAGCTCCTCTGTATTTTGCTGCCTGCCCATGATCTCAATGTCATGAGGAAAAACAGAGTGTCATCACTTTATGGTCGTGTATGAACATATGAGGAAAGGAGTGGAGACAAAAGAAGAAATCCCTGAGCTGTGACCTTGCGCCCAACAGGGAACACGCTGCCATATGAAGTGCAGAACCAGCTTGGAGCGCACTCTTAGGAAGCGGACACCATTGACCGCAGCACGTAAAAAAAAATGCGTTATTGTAAAAAAATCACAGATTTTAAAGGCCTGAGCAGAAGACTGGAATCCACTGCCGAAGTTTCACAACCACAAGCATGTCTCTTCTGTCTCTTCTTGTCCTTCTTCCCCACAACTAATTAGGAATCCTAGAAACCTCACTATCTTCTTAGCCAACTGCACTGAAAAAACCCACAACAAACCACCTTCCTTTTTTCTGTTTATTTGGCCTTTGAACTACTCTGCTGTGTGTTCAGGACACATTTTCGTGCTCTCGTCTAGAGACAAAATGGTTTGTTTTGGTTTGGTGTTTTAAATGGAAATTGAACATTCTTTTCTCATCACAGTACTCCAGAACTTGCAACGAAGAGGCAGGGCAAGATATGCAATAAAATTATGAAAGTAGCAACAGTAGCTTTGAAATATATACAGCTTAGATGTTACTGGCAATAATATTATAAGCCCTGAAGGCTGTAAGCTCTTTGAAGCATGAACTTTGATATGCCCAAAGGGGTGCTCTGTACACTTTGGATTCTGTATAAATAACAATCACAGTACACTCAACCCAATGACCCACTTTGTAGGTCCTGTCTGGCTTCTGGCAAATCAACAACAAACACTAAAAATGTAGAGCTGTTGCAAGACACATTGCTGCATCTTTTCCATTTTTTCCATTTATTCAGGTTTCTCCAAGTCATGGCTACCACTAAAAAAAAAAAGAAAAAAAAAAAAAAAAAATTAAAAAACCTACCAGCAATTTAGTACAAGACTGTAAGAAAACTTGCACTGGACTTGAACAATGTTTTATTTATTGCTGCTTAACCTTAAGTTGCAAAGAGTTTTATTTTGTTTGCTTTGTTTTTATTTCTGGTGACAGCTGCAATCAGTTCGAAGCAAGCAAATAGATGGAAAGAATCTGAAAGGTTAAAACTCTTCCTTGTGGGATTTTCTGTCAAAGTAGATCAATTCCTAACCTCAGCCTTGGCAGCACTCCTTTAATCTGCTGAGGTGGTATGCCTGTATGGATCCAGCTACGCAATGTTTTTGATAGCACGTTCTGCAAATGTGCTGTATTCTTCAATAGCATGAAATCAACGGTCACGTTATTTCTTTGGGGGCTGGAAAGCAAATACTCCAAGCATCTGTAACCATGTTTTCTCTGAGGTTATGGGGAGTAGGATCTCGTGTTTCTTTAAAAATCACATGCAAATCAGCACCACTTGTGGAGATGTCATTTCAGACTTCTATGGGATATAGTCTTCTTTTCCTTCCAGATGCTTTTCCCCTATTTTCCTTCTATTCACACACTATTCTCCCACACCTCACTATAACTGTGTCAAGATCTTAACAAGACCATTAGACAAGTGCCCAAAAGTTTTCTCATTTTGTGGAATGGTTCAGGCTTCAGAGAAAACCTTTTCTTACATCTTTTTTTCTTCAAGTTCTTAAAAAAAAACCCCACCTTGAATTTCGTGCTATTTTTTTTCACTTCTCTGTATCCTTCTTCTGCCTGTGTTCATAGAGAAAAGGTTTCTGAAACCCAAAATGTCAAGTTCTATCCCCATTGCTGTATGTCTGTGGTTTAACCGGCCTAGAGCTCCCATGCTGTTTGAGATCAGAGATTCACCCATACAAGAATCCTGTCTCTGACAACAGCTGATCTCTTAAAAGAAAGGAAGCGGGGGGGGAAAAAAAGCAGAAGGAAAAAAAGGTCAAAAATCTCTAGAATAAGTGTCCTCCTGACCTCCTTTATGATTCCATGTCAAGAAGCTTGAGCTTATATCCTTCTACAAACTGTTTTTAACTTTCTCTGTTATATAATCGGAATTACAGTAGTGTATTTTTTATTATCTTATGAATATATTCCAAAGGAAAACAGCAACGAATTCTTCAGATTGACTTTACGTGCCACATTTCTCTTGACGCCTTAGCTGCAGAGTTAAAAGACCATACATCTGTAACTGGGTCTCCGCACTTTGGCCTCACCCAACACACACCTGCCAAAGCTGAGCAAAGCTTTTCTTTTCCTAAGAGCAAGAGCAACGAGCTTCCCCTTCCTCCTTCAAGAGGCTAACACAGAAGAAACATCACAAACGAAAATTTCTCAAGCACAGGAATTTCACACACGAACCCAAACCTGCTATGTTGCTGGTCCCCAGTGCGCTGCACAGCAAACGTTAATGGGACAGATGGAAAACCATCCTGAATTGCCCTGAAGTACCCAGAGTACCACTACTACAACTGTTATTTCCTGAACAAGATGCTTTTGCTCAAGACTGACTAACACTCTATAGGTCTGCAGTAAACAGGATAAATAATGCTTGCGTTCATCATTTATAATTGGAAAATGCCTGTAATCCTCTTCAGCAGAAATAAACAGGTAACTATCATGCTAAGCGCAAGGGAAAAGTCAACACAGAAATATCATTAAGCAGCCTCCTGTGCTAACAGAGCTCTCACCATAGGGTAAATATGGGATGAACATCACATGAGGAAGCGAAATCTCTTTGTTTATCATACCCTTTGGGTGACTTCAATACCTGGTGCACATGCCATTTGGAGTAGAATGAATGGCTTGACGTTAATACAATGAATAAAACAAGCATTTGCCATGTAGGAAAAGGTAATGCACAAGTGACCTCATTCTGCAGTCATAAAACAGAGATGTTCTTCAAGCAAAGTCGTGGTGGAAATCATTACCCTAGACAGGCTGCATTTACTTACAGCTCCCGCATCTAATGCAGGGACTGAGAAATGATTCATTCCTCAAGTGAACAGCAAGGTTGATCAGTCATGAACTCAATTGACAACAGCATTAACACCTTTCAACAACACAACCTGTTGTCCCCTTGCTTGAAAGTGCTTTTCCTACAGCCTTACCCTCAGAGTCAACCGGGTAGGAGGCTGGCCAGGGAGCTCAGCCCCTTTGCAGGACAATGTTATTAATACTAAAAAGAGGAAAGCTGCAGAGGAGGAGCAGAGCAGTAGTGTGACGAGAGGATAGACACCACCACAGCCAGGCTGATCATGCTAGTATGGGCACCAAGCCATAGCATGTGAAAATAGACTTTACTGGGCAAGGTACTGCTCTGTAGAAAGCCCCTGTATCACAGCAATACTAAGCTCAGCATGTCCTAATGAGCTAAAAACCCTCAACCAGTTCTCACACTTTATCATTCATCGTACATTAAGTAGCTGAAGCTCTGTGTTCATCTGACTGTTTTTTATAGGACAAACTCAGAACCTCCTGAAGCCTCTGAATTTACAAAAATCAGCAGATTTGTAAAGTGTTAAAATTTATACCACATGCTATATAATTTAAACCATACGCTAAAGTCATATAAGTAATCTATGACCTGTCTTTCTGCTGAAAATTGTTCTATAAAGCAGAAAAAAAAGTCTTGGACAAAAATTTTGAGCTTACAATGCTGATTTTAGGAACAATAACAAATCAAACCAGAAACACACAGGAACCCCCAAATAAACTACGAGGCAGTTAGAGAGGTCAGACAGCAACATCAGATCTTACCTCCAAAACCCTTGCCCAAAGGGCCAGGCTCCCCCCGTTTTCCATTGCGCTGGGCAGCCTCTCCAAAAGCCAGGTTATTCTCCCACCAACCAACGCGCGAAGGGCTGGGGGAAGCAGCACAAAGCTCTCTAATGATCACTGGTACCAGTCACCTTGTGAAAAGCAGGTGAATATTCATAGCCTGAACAGCTCACGAGTAAGGAATACACTTTCCTTTTAAAAATATGTTTAAATAGATCTGTCGTATTGAAGAAAAGGGTGTGGGGG